ATAGCAAAAAAAAAAAAAAAAAAAACCCCAAAAAAACCCAAAAACAAATCCAAAACAAAAAAGGAGAAAAACCAACAATTCTTCAATTCAGTGTGCAAACATATAAAAATAGAAATACTAACTCTATAGGCAGTATTTCCTGATAAATTATTTAAATAGCGTATCTACACGATCTGAGATCTATTCCAAAGGTAATGAGAAAATAATTTATAAAAGTCAAGCAATGGTATACAAGATAATAGAAAAAAACCCATAACTTTCAGAAACTGTACTTAACATTTCAATGCTATCTCCTTATTGGGAACACCTTTCTGCAAAGCGCTTTTATACTATGTACAACACTGAATTTTTAGGTACTACAGTAGCGTTAGGTTTGTGAGACACTTAAAACTCTACTTGATCCAAATATTCTTTACTCAGTCACACAACAAATGAGGTAATATTTGTATATAAGTTTCACCTTTGTCATCTTTTCTCTTTTGGAAAACTGAAAAACAAAAACAAAAAACCCCAAACAGGTATATACGCTATTCTTCCCCCTGGAAGAAGGACAAGGGATGGGTAAAACAGAATTAAAGATCTCCTGGCTTTCTTTGCAATCTGAAACACTTGCAAATAGACAGCCAACTAATTCCACTTGAACAGACAAAACAAACAAAGGTGGAAAAGAGCCAAACAGAATTTAAATCATTCACCCTAAGCACAAAGTGAAAAGCAGCTTCTTGTTCTGATTTTCCAGATGCGAGTTTTGAAGGGATTAGCTGAGGAGTCTCAGCTACCTGCTCTCATTCCATTTTCCTTGTGAAATCTAATTCCAGGTAGAACAGAACTAATAAATAATCTGTATTTACAATCTTACAGTCATGAAGACTCCAAACAAAGGTGATTTGATAGTCCTTCCTGGTCCATGAATAATCCTTCAGATACATCTTCCACAATAGGTAAAAAATAAATATTTTACATTGTTAAAGCCTTTGTAAAAGAAAAAAAAAAATCCAAAAAACTATAGTCCAAAGGAGAATTGGAAAATTCCATGGTTATTGAGAAAAAAAGAAAAGGAATGTTTTAGTTAGGTCGCTAGTAATTTTGTGCCTTTCTAACCATAAAAATACAAGCACAGCTGCCCCTCGGCAGGGAGGCAGCTAGAGCTCACTGAGATGGGAGAGTTACTTACTTTCCTGCTACACCTGCTCAAGGTATACCTAGAATAAAACTGACAATTCCAATGTGACCAGACAGTGAACAGCAGCCAGCACTGCCTCAGGCTCCTGACTCCTATTCTGGCCACTTACAGGTGACAGGTGAGAAGCATGGGGTGGGGAGGAAGTCCAGAAGCCAGTCTCCCCTCCCTTGCCTGTTTCTCTTTAGGTGTACAGTTAATCAGCTGACACTGTCAGCATCATGAAATCCAGCAATGGTCCTTCAGTCCCCTGAAAATGATTTAGTGCCAAACAAGTAACAGTTCCTCCATGTTTTCTTCATACAACCACCTCTTGGGTATGTGCCCTCCCCTTAGTGCTTAGTCAGAGGTGGTGTGTTCATGTTTGCTAATTCTAGTGTGTCCTCCCTTCTCTGCCGTGCCTGGACATGCTTCTGAGCGCACTGCTCAGAGATGCCTCACCAGAGCACCCTGCTCTATGACAAAGGCAGAGTGGAGCGGGCACCTTTCCAATGGAAAGCAAACAGATGCTTTTGCCTTTGCAAAAGCAAACCACAGTACTTGTTTATGTTCTTGGAAGATGCCTTCTCATTCAGTAGAGGCTGAACACTGAGTCTGTTTGAAAACTGCATTGTCTTGAGGCAGGTCACTCGCTCTAGGAGGCCACACTGATGCAAGCAGAGGAGAAAGGAAGGTGAGGAGGAGAGATCCTGGGGGTTTCTCAAGCCCTTGATTCCAGAAGGTGCAATACCAGCGTTGGTTGTGATCAGGACGCTGATCAGCAGGATGATTAGGAATCTGTTAATAAATAAATACACAAATGAGAACTAATTGATGAAGGCACAACCATCTTAACAGCAGTTAACAAATTAACAACCCAGGGCCTCCTACGTGGTAGGCAAACTCTACTTTTCCAGTGACAAAGCATAATTTAAGGTTGTTCAGTCACTGGACTAGCACAGTTCTTTAGCTGACATTGATGCCAGGCAGGAGACTGATACAGAACCACCTTCCATAACTTGTATTATGTCTTGTAAGGCATTCGATGGTAAGAGGCTAGGGAGTTTTATTTTAAAAATTCAGACTCAAAAATTGTATTTTAAGTTAAATACTTTTTGAGTAATATCTACCATCTTTCTTTATTCTTTAAGCCTTTGATCTTGAGGTCTGATGCCTTTGATCTCACAGGCTTCAAGGCCTGGCTCAGCAAGTATTTATCAAGCATTTATATTGTGGGAGGTCCAATGCCAGACTTAGAGCTTAAATCACCACTGAGTGAAAACAGCTAAGGTGAATGGTGAAAATTGAAGGCCATACTTTCTCCTCTCCATACACAGGAAAAGGCTATGAAAGACAAGTTGTGCCGTGGTGTCATGAATGAACTCTAGGCAGAGCGTAAGATATGTAAACATACAAAATTTTAAAGAGAAGTATTACTAAGAAGACCTAAACCGTCACAGTTTGTCTTTCCACTGTACACGCAGAGTGCACAGATTGGTATGCAATCAGAAAGTGTTGACAAGGACTGAGGAATTCATTAGCCACAGTTCTTAGGCATTGTGTCCTCAAAAGCGGAATAGAAATACCCCTGCCTCTAAAATAGTCTTTAAATCTGACTCCCCCGTAATCATCACCCTTGATACTGGCCGTTGCTCCTACCTCTGCATTCGTATTTCATGTCAGAGAAGAACACCATTTCTTGAGAGAAGACAAACAGTCCCAGTCTTCCACCAGCATAGGTTTTGTCATAGATGGGCCCGGAGTCAGCCATGATTTTCTTCCCTTCATACATCACCACTCTGCAGGGAGGGCAAACAAACAAAACTCTCATTCAGGACATTACTACATTTGGTTTCATCCAGTTTGCCCATTGGTGTGACTCTGAGTGAAATTTAATCATTGCAATTTTACCTAATGAAACCTGTCTTTGGCCTGTGGCTGAGACGCCATCTGTAGGCGGTGAAATCTTTCCAGCCTATGTGACGAGGGTCATGCCACAGGGTGCGCACCTGAAGGGAAAGGAAACGAAAAGGTTGACACACAGTTGCATCAGAAGATTTGTATTTCATGCTGGATGCTTGAAAGGTACCGAGCTGACCTAAACTTGAGGGGCTGCAGGACAGGATTTTTCCCAAGGCTTCTCTCATTTATTGTGTGTCATTTGCAGAGAGAGAAAACGGAAGGGACTTTTCTGTTCAAAGAGGCTGAAGCTGCCTTTGGGTTGGAAGGGTAGGTCTTGGTCACAGTGAGCTCCCTTCTAATACACTATTCTAGTTTTACAAAGCAGAGGTTAATGCTGTCTGTAGTTGGTGATGCTGGGAACTTTATACCTAGAACTCCCTGTTGGGTTCTTGGCCAAAGTCTGGTGTCCTTAGTGCTAGTCAAGCACCCATCAACTCTCCCTTCTGCAGGACGTTGCTTCTTACCTGACCAGGGGTGTTTCCTGTGTGCCAGAGGGCATTCCGCAGGTGCTCGCCAGGCCCTGTGGTGGAGTTCACAACTTTCACAGACAGGCCTGAGTATCCCTGAGCTCTGGTGGGGTTGGTGTCCCAGTAGGACTGGGTTACTTGCTTCCACATAACAACATAGAAGCGGCTGCTGGACTGGTAGCCAAACACAAAACCAGCATAATCATCATCTCTCTCAGTGTTGATGAAGAAGGTGCCACTGAAGTCCACAGCATTAAACTCATCGTAACCTGGAAGATGAGGCCAGGGCCAGGTTAAAAACTGTCTTTACAAGGTCCTCTGTTCCCTAGCTCCCACAGGGAAAGGCCCAACTTTCTCATTTGCCTCTTGGCCTCAGAGCTTATCACTTACCTACAGCGAGTCCAGGGTCACAGTTGACAGTCTGGACCAACTCTTTGCCCTGATGGCGCACAACCCAGTTAGGGTCATTTTGAGATGTGCCTTTGGGATCTAGAGGAATCATCTGGAATCGGCGGAAATCAGTCTCACTGATATCAACATTCTCAGGACAGATGTCATCAATGTCTGGCACATTGTCGTGGTCAAAGTCATCTTTGCAAGCATCACCTCGACCATCACCTGCAGTCAGAAAGGCAAGAGGTGAGTGAAATTCTGAAAGGCCATTATGATTGAGGTCAGAAATGCACTATCTTGTCAAAGTTGACCTTTAGTCACTTTGTCCCCTCAAATGCATTCAGCCTTGCTTTTATTTCTTCACCCAGTCACCCAGTTATGCTCTTAAAAAGTGGGTGCAATGACTCACCATCAGAGTCTTTCTGGTCAGGATTGGGTACCAGCCTGCAGTTGTCCCTGTCATCAGGAATGCCATCATTGTCATCATCGTGGTCACAGGCATCTCCCTTGCCATCTTTATCGTGGTCAGCCTGGTTGGCATTGGGCACATAGGGACAGTTGTCCAGATTGTTCTGGTGGCCATCTTCATCAATGTCCTGGTTGTTGTCACAAGTATCTCCAATGCGGTCCGAGTCAGAGTCAAGCTGAAACACAGACATAAAAGGAGGGTAAATAAAGTATGAGCCAGTCATGTTAAAGGTAATGTTAACACCCCACGTCAGGGAAAATTCTCACATGTTTGATAAGGCCAGTGAGTTTCATGTTTATTTCTATACTACTGCAGAAAGATACTAACAATTGAATTTTTAAAACCTTTTTCTTGATCCTTGTTTTTATTAGGTGAGAAGGGATATTTAAGATTTTTTAATAAAAAACTTTCTAATGAACATAGAAAGACTTATTTAATCACTCAAGATGGAATGCAAAGTTAACTGCTTATATCTCAATGTTATATCAAATTTTCTGGATATAATTTGTAATTTCCCACTTAAGTTTCACTTGTAAACTTACTGATATGTCAGCTTCTATGCTACGCCATGAAATCTTTTTTTCAAAACAGATTTTCCCAGAGTACTTAACGTTATTCAGTATGCATGGAATCCTTAGAGGCTGTGTATATACAAACTGGAATTTTCTTGCTAGTGCTTATGCTTTTTACTTGTAAGATTTTTACATGATGCTTGAATTTTGTCATAACAAAATTTATTATAATCTAAGGAACCCAAAACTCACCCAGTGAGGTTAAATGATATTGAAGAAGTTTAATTTTTAGTAAGACCTAAACTCAAAATCAGCAAGGCTAATCCCAGGTCATTTGAGCTTTCCTATGGTGGCCTCAAGACCACCTGCCTGGTTGCTTTTAGCTTGACATAGCTTTACAAGAGCAAATGTTAGGAGGGCAAAGCTGGACTTCTTTTTCCTTTGCTCTAATAAAAAATATTACCATTTAAAAAAAGTTGATTTCCAAACATTTAGAACAATGCATTTTAGAGAAAAAAGTCTTAACTTTTATCCCTAGAAAATACTGATGGTTACTTACACAAAAAAGAACTACTTTCAGACAGGAACCCTACTCCTGTTCTCAACAGGAACCTGTGTAGTAATGTTGATCTGTGGCACTCCGCAGCATGGGAGAAGGATGATCTGTTTACAATGCCAGATAGTTTTGGCAAATGATAGAGAACCAGGAGCTTTCCCCAGATTTTGGAAGTACTTTTAGTTTGATTATTTCTTAATGGCTAATGGTTATTTTGCTTCTAGATAGAATCCCTCTTAGTCTTACATTGGGTTACTACTGTTGTAGTTACCAATCACAGATCTCTGCATTGTGTAGTGTTTTTTAACAATGGTAGTCACACTGAGCAAGTCAAGTGGCCTTTCTTACAGAAGACAAGATTGAAGTTATAAGATCTTCACACAAGATCCATGGACTCTGCGAAGAGCTCATTGCAGGCACACTATTTACACCAACACCCTGGAGCTGGCTCTGATAATGCTGAGGCACCGTGGTAACCAAAGAGTTTGAACTCTATTAAACTCACTGTTGTAAAGGCCCAGAAAGGGAGCCCAACAGCTTACTGAGAATTGCTGGAAGGAGTCCACCCACCTGATCTGGATTGTGCTCCAGGGGGCAGTTGTCACACTGATCCCCAACTCCATCCATGTCAGTGTCCCTCTGATCCACATTGTAGACGTACTGGCAGTTGTCTCGTTCGTTGAGGATACCTGCAGAGAACAGGACCAGTAAGAGCCATGGAGATTTCAATCAAACCACACAGTAATGTCATGAAGTATCCCGAAGCTCTGTGGGCTTTCCCTGGTCTCCAGGGCTGTTGAGCCAGGGCACATCTTACCATCTCCATCAATGTCTGCCGCACAGGCGTCCCCCTCCCCATTGTTGTCTGTGTCTGCCTGGTCTGGGTTGTGGTTGTAAGGGCAGTTGTCACAGCGGTCTCCCACGTCATCTCTGTCATAGTCATACTGGGCTGGGTTGTAATGGAATGGACAGTTGTCCTACAAAGAAGGGCACAGAGCACACTGCAGGGCTGCCCACAAGTCCAGTGCATCCTCCAACCTCATGCATGGCACGCAGAAAACTGCAAACGTCTGCGCTAATTCCTTTCTACTTAGTGGCTACTCCAACTGAGTACTCAGGATAAGTAAAACAGTCACTACAAAAGTTAAAAGATAGGAGATGATGAATGAAAAACGGATACCCATTTGTTAAAAATCAGTGAGATGTAAAATATCACTTAGTTCTCAGTATGCTCAAAGTAAATCACACTGTCATTTAGATATGCATTTGAAATGAATCAGAGAAACAACACGTCATTTGTTTACGTGTTGTCAATTCTGTGATGAAAAACAAAATGTTCATTTAAAAATTCTCTTGGCAGCATCTATGTCTCAAATTACTGAGACACAGGAAATAATTTCTAGTTTAGCCTCTGTATCAACTTGGTATGTACACACCCCCCTATACATTTACTATAACCTTGTAATTCTTAAATCCTAAAATGGCTCAGGCTGTTGTTGAATTGTGAAGATGAAGAAGGAATGAGGACATTTTGGTTTTACCCTATCATCTGGAATTTTGTCATTGTCATCGTCGTCATCACAGGCATCACCAATCCCATCCTTGTCATAGTCTTCCTGTCCAGAGTTGGGGAGGTTGGGGCAGTTGTCCTAGGGAAAGGCAGACACACATGACAATGATGTCTGAGTGGTATGAGGGGTGGCACCAGGACTTTCCAAACAGGAAGAGCCGATGCTGCCCGCATGTGCTTTTATGGGAAGGCTACACAAAGGTTTCTCAGGGGCCATGCATACAGAATTTGTGTCACTGCTCTAGGCTCTATAGACACTGTGAACACAGTCATACTCTGCTGGTATTTGGTAAAGCAGTGAGCATTTTTTTTGGACAAAAGAATTGACTATGGGCACAAATACCAAAACAGCTCGCTGTGTTCGTGCTCTTGGTACCAAATGATTTCATATTAGTGAGAATTAATGCCCCTCTGCCTTTGGGAGAGTTACTCCTTCAGATTCATTTTCCAAGTTCAACTTTTCCAATCCCTTAGTGTGTTCTTCTGACCAGGCGATGGGCCTACTTTAGGGAGGCACAAGAGGGAGGCCGGACTTACCTTTTTGCAGTGGTAAGTTGCATTGGCCACACACACCAGGTCCTCATTTGGCCAGCCGTCAAGGTCCGTGTCCTCCCCACAGATGATGCCGTTGCCAGCATAGCCAGGCTTGCACTCACAGCGGTACATGGGGTCACTGTAGTGGCCCAGGTAGTTACACTTGGCGTTCTTGTTGCAGTCATGTGTCCCATCTGTGCAGGGGTTGCGGGGTTTGCACACCTGAGGGCACAATGTCTTTCTGTCAACACAGAGCCTGTGTGTCCCCAGACACCATGAAGAAATGAAAAATTTAGATCATGCTTGTGTCCAAGTACACAGAGGCCCCATTTGGAAGAGTGTGGGCTACCTCTGTCCCTTTCCCTTTGCTCTCTGAGGATATCCAGGCTAGAAACAAAGGCTGCATTACATTTGATTTTCTTGAAATATTTTGGCACCTAGGCCAAAATATTGTTGTGTAGCCCATCTGCTCACAACATTTTTCAGAGCAGAATTTTCAAACATGGTGACTTTTTTTTTTTTTTTTCATTTTTCTTTTATTATTCATATGTGCATACAAGGCTTGGTTTATTTCTCCCCCCTGCCCCCACCCCCTCCCTTACCACCCACTCCACCCCCTCCCGCTCCCCCCCTTAATACCCAGCAGAAACTATTTTGCCCTTATCTCTAATTTTGTTGTAGAGAGAGTATAAGCAATAATAGGAAGGAACAAGGGGTTTTGCTGGTTGAGATAAGGATAGCTATACAGGGCATTGACTCACATTGATTTCCTGTGCGTGGGTGTTACCTTCTAGGTTAATTCTTTTTAATCTAACCTTTTCTCTAGTTCCTTTTAAGGTATGCTCTAAAAACTAGACTGTGCCTTCATTCCCTCCCCTGTGGTTTTCAATCCCCCCCCTTGCCAGCTGTTTGGCCAAGAACGGCTTTCTTTTTCCTCTGGTCTACGAGTCTGCTGTACCTGTTTGTTGGCCATGGCGTGTTCAACGCCCCGGCCAAAGGGCTGCGAGCCAGTGAAGCGCGGTGGGCAGGGCAGGCAGTTGTAGCCAGGGTCTGTGTTCTTACATCTGTGCTCTCCGTTGTGGTTGAAGCAGGCATCAGGCACTTCTTTGCACTGTGGAGGAAATGAGTTTGCTTAACGTTTAGCAAAAGCTGCCTTGAGGAAGTGCTAGGACCTACTTTCCTAGGTGTGGTAACTCAGAGCCATCACTTCCTCACCTCATCCACATCTTTGCATTGGATGCCATTTCCACTGTAGCCAGGGGGGCAAGCACCACATTTCCAGCTGCCATCGGGGTAGCTAGTACACTTGGTGCCAGCAAAGCAGGGGTTTGATAGGCATCCATCTGAGAAAAGGTGAGAGAGACAGGTAAGTGTTGGTCTAAGTTGCTGACTGCCAAGCTGGCCACTTAAAAACACAACACAGAATAAGACGTTGCAGGGTCCCTCTGTCACGGGAAATGGGTTAAAATTAAATTGCCCACCCGAATTTGACAGTAATCAGACACCCAGGACCCATCGAAGTTGGGGTCCTATGAACACCAACAATGGCGTTCAGTATTTTGAAAGCATCTACAGTGACTCTGTCCCCGCCTGCATGGCTCACCAATTGGACAGTCCTGCTTGTTGCAGACTTGGTTTTCTGTCACATCACCAATGCAGTCTTTGCCTCCGAACTGGGGTGTGGGGCTGTTGCAGAGCCGGCTTCGCTTTTGCACCCCTCCTCCACAGGTGACAGAACAGATGTCCCATGGTGACCAGGGACTCCAGCCTCCATTGACTGTGAGAAAATGAATCCCATGCAAAAATTAACATCAGTTTTCAAATGCCTTACCGATCACAGAAGACTCTACTTCTACCCTGACACGTGGAAAGGGTGCTCGGGAAGAGGGGCAGTTGGAAAAGGTTTTCTTTCTGTTTTTCATTAAAAGAAGCTGCTGAGCAGGCAGGACTTTGCTTCTGTTTGTCTCTCTAGTAAATAACCTTCCCTGCTTGCTCCATGACCCACTGATCCCGAGGCTGCAAATACCAGGCAACCAGCTAGCTGGGCACAGCCACGGCTCGTGCCAGTCCCATAGTCAGGCCCATACTCACTGGGGCAGGCGTCTTTCTTGCATGCTTTGGTCTCCCGAGCTTCTCCTTCACATGGCTTCCCATTCATCTGGGGGCTGGGAGAGTTGCAGAGCCGGATCCTCGTGATCACACCGTCACCACATGTCACAGAACAAGATGACCACGGGGACCAGTGGCTCCAGCCACCATCCTGTTTAACTACAGTACAAAGTGGTTGTCACAAACAGTGCTGGCTTACAGCTATCCTAGAAGCCCTCCCCAGAGCTTCCAACACATCGTCAATAGCAGCTAAACCCAGCCTGGAGGAGAAACTGGCTCTTGGCCCATGTCCAAATGGTCAACAGAGAATTTTTTCTGCCACAGCAAAGGTATCAGCTGTCTTTGCAGGTACTGTCAATAGCTTAACATTTACGGGGTGCTCACCAGGAGCCAAGCTCTATGCTGATTGTTTTGTATGTATTATCTAAATAAAATGCTTCAAATAACCTATCAAGCATTGCAGAGAGCCAAGTTACAGAAGAGGAAAGGACGTCAGGGAGTTATGTGGAGCTCACAGGGGCGAGATAAGCAGTGGAACTGGGATTCAGACACAGAGACACTACAGCCTGTGTTCTTAGGCTTTGTGCTGTGGAGCTAGTCTTGGTGATGGCAATAAAGATAGGTCAGACCTCCACTCCCACTAAGTGGCCAAGACACTTACATCTCTTGTCACACTCCTGGATGTGGCAGGTCCGTGTCTGGACAGAGGAGCCTTCACAGCGATTGTTGAGGCTGTCACAGGAGCGCCCACGCTGCTGAATTCCATTGCCACATGTGGCAGAGCACGAGGTCCACTCAGACCATGGAGACCAGCCATCGTCTGCAGAGTCGCTGGCTGCAGGGGAACGGAAGTCACTTAGCATCCGATGATTAAGGTAGAGTGATAAAGAGTGATAAAGATGGATGATTAAAAGTCTGGAACAGAGACTCTTTAAACGTCTCTGTGCAGTGTCCCTCCTTGCCAGAGGGTGTAAAGCAATGTGTTCTTCTTATCCCGAACTTTCTGTTTCTATCTAATGAATACAGGCTTTGACGCATGTGCACACTGTGACGGGAATACCACTGTCAAGCCACTGCACATATGTGTCACCTCACACTCACTACTTTCTCCTCTCAGCAAATCTCAAGTATATGATTCAGTATACTCACTATATACACTGTGACGTGCCTGAGCTTTCCCTTGCCTAAGAGCGAAAGTTTCAGTTATTCAGGATGAAAATCAATACATTTCTTAGGCCGACAGTGGAGGGTTCATCTCAGGCCACTCTATGCACAGCTTGGGACAACGGATGCTTTCCCTGGCCAGTACAACCGAGCCTTCCCACAGCGTGTGTCCCTGCCTGCTGCTTCCCTTTCCATCCTCTGAGCTTTTCGAATGAGTTTCCCTTTACACACTTAAGATTTCTGGATAGCATTTCCAGTCTCAGCCTCGAAGAATCTGGAGTTTGGGGCAGCTGGAAGGGTTCATTTCTGACTGTGTGTTTGACAGATGAGCTGTGAAGGCAGTTGACCAGCCACAAGGATGGTCACTCTGTCCCCACACCCTAGCATTTGGGGCCTTCCTCGCACATATTTCCACAGGAGGAGAAAGTGTTTGTTTACTGTCTTCCAGGTACCATGACTACAATCTCTGTATCAGAGAGAAAACAGAAAACTTTTTTGAGACAAGTTCTCACTATGTAGCCCAGACTAGCCTTGAACTCACGGCCGTCCTACTTCTGCCTCCACTCAGCAAGAAAACTTGTTTTCTTTTGCCATCAGCAAGAAATTTTCCCAGCCCTCCCTAATTGAAGTTCAGAACTCCACCAGCCTCCGGCAGGCTTTGTTCTTTCACTCATACCTCAAATGAATGCTGAACAGAAACATAACTACAAGTGACTGTTGTAGTGCAATGTCACTTCCAGGACCCCTGAATGGGACTGATCACTCTGAGCCATGGCAGTGTGTGTAGCCGGGTGTATGTAAGAGGGTGTGTGTGTGTGTGTGTTCTTCCTTTGTTGTGATGAATCACTTTTGTGACTTGTACCTATTGCATCGAATATTGTCTCAACAAAGTGATTTTACTGGCAACAAAACCCAGAGACAGGGTACCATGGAACAAAATAGTGACTAATTTCTTTCAGTGCCCTGAAATTCAAAGAGATGTTACAGATAAAAAAAAAAGGTGGGGGGGAGTGCAGAACTTTCAGGTCCAATGCTCACACCACCAGCCTATCAACCTCTCTGGTGAACAGGTTTTTTCTTAACTTTGTAGCATTAGGATCAAACTCTAAAAGCAGTCAGCTTAGACCTGCTGTGCTACACATTCATCTCCATTCCTCAAAGCATAAAATCAGACTGAATAAGCTTCCACCAAGATCATTATTATCTACACCACAGTCCAGACAGGTAATTAAAACTGGACGTTTTGTTGCACACAGCAGACAGCTAACCAGGCGGAGCCGCAAGACACTGAATGAAAACATATGGTGGCGAGGGAGTGGGGTCCAGCGTCATGCCTGGCTGTCTAGATACATTAGGACTGATCTGGTCACTGAAGGGTGGTTATGCCATTTGGGGAACTTACGCCAACACCGCGGGCAGCACTCTCCATCAGGCACGGTGGCATTGGAGCAGGGCATAATGGGACAGGATACTTTTTTGCAGATGGTAACTGAGTTCTGTAGAGCAAGAGCACAAGGGAGCAATGGGTTACTGAGCATACAGCAAATCTAAGTTTGTATATCAGAAAATTTTTATTACAAGCTACTGCAGAGGGCTGTAAGTGCTCTTGTGGAGTGATTTTAAGAGAGCCATCCCTGTTGTATTTGCAGTCACCAATGTCAACCAGTTCTCGAAATTAGTCACGTGTCACTCCCTTCTTCAGAGAGTTCTTTTTCAGCACCAAGAATTTACAGAAGGGGCCCCAACACACATGTGAGCCAAATGTACACCTAAAATTAAACTCACAAATGTCAACTAGGACCTGAAGTTGTTTATCCTTAGTGGGAAAAGGAAGCCTACTAGCAATTTCCTCATCTATAAATCTAACTTTATATTATATTGGAGGCAATGGAATTTAATGAGTTTGGCTCCCAAGCCCAGTAATCTGTGATTTACATTTAAGCTTTACTTTGCTTGATGAGTCAGATAAATGCCAAACTCACCTGCGCTGGCACTGGGGGGAGGGAAGGGACATGCCAGCATGTGGTGCCGTCTGAGTTAAGTAGACAGTGACATCCCAGCGATGTGGGGCTAAGTGATTTGAACAATCAGTCCTGTATTAAAGGCACCTTCGTGCCAGAACTGAATACAAATCAGGGTTGAGGAGAAACAAAGAAATGTTCTAAGCAGGTTTTATTTACCTGACATCCAACACTCAGTCTTTGAACTAAAGCAGGTAAATCATCCAGATTTCTAAGTAGATCTGTCTTCTTAGATACTTAGCCTGGGGTATAATTAAGACTTTGACAAACCTTCTGCAAGTCTAGAGACGAATTTGTAGGTGTCATAACCGCATGTTAACGAAAACACTTTGGTCCATAGAAAGTACTTTGTGTGGCTGCTTGGGTATTTCCCAAGGGACAGTGGCTTCAAACGCATGCCACCAGTTCTTATTTTAGTTTGGCCTGAACCCTTACCTGACAGTGACACTCAGTGCAGCTGTCCACAGTCCACTCATCGTTATTCTTGTACTGAACTCCATTGTGGTAGCAGAGGGGAGGCTTCCTCCATTCTTTGGCCAACTCTTTGTTCTCTTCCGTCTAAAAGGAGAATGATCATTAATAACCAGCTTCACTCAGGACTCTCTTTGGTGACCCTTGAAGGGTGAGTAGGCTGGGAACAGAGGACACTGACCACTTTTCGGATGCTGTCCTGCAGCGTGGTCACGATGGTGCGCAGGCCCCGGACTTCTAGGACCATGCTGGACAGCTCGTCACAGGAGATGCCACAGATGGCTTGCAGGTCCTTTGTCTTGTGGCCAATGTAGTTAGTACGGATGGCAGGGCTGGAGCCATTCACCACATTGTTGTCGAGGGTGAGCAGGACATTGGTAGTCGCTGGGAAATGAAAAAAAAAAAATACAAAAGCTTCAAACAGACGACCTCGCCAGACAGCCCCTTGAGTTGTTGGTTGTGAAAGACCTTTGTTTTGGGGCAAGGGTTGCAAATAGAGAAGTGTGTGTGTGTGTGTGTGTGTGTGTGTGTGTGTAAAATACCCTGGGAAGTCACGTGTGTGTACCTCTTAACTATGGTCCCTGGCGTAAGCTAGGCACAAACACTATTGCTTTAATTTCTCAGTGTGATATTGGTGGAATTCCCCGGATTTCTCCATATGTCCTGAAAATAGAGGGGTACTCACAGCTGGAGCAGCCTTTGTTCCTGAGGATGTCTTCTGGTGTAGTTCCAAAGACAAATCTCACGTTCTGCAGCACCCCCTGTGGGCAGAGGACAAGCATACTGAATGTTAGGTGCACGGGTGTGGTGGGGGAGGCTGGCTCTTTATGCTAGGAAAAGCCACAGTAAATGTTCCAAAAGCTTGAAAGAGCTCCGTTTTAAGATCACTGTATCAAAACAACACACCAACATAAATTGCCAAACTTTAAAAATCCCATGTCTGTTGCCAAGTCTTCAGTATTTTACAAAGAATTCCGTTATCAGCTTGCTCTGCACACAGGAAGTGGAATCTGATACTAAGTCTGGAGGATATGATACTCTCCAGCAGCAAAGAGTTAAATGTGGGAGTTCAAAGCCACAGTTGCAAAGATCTGGAAGTTTAGGCGAGGGAGAAGCTGCAGCATCAAGTCAGCACCCTTTTAACCTTTGATTTGAGGCAGGGCTATGTCCCTCCCACTTTGCCCCAGGAATCAAATAGCACAGTGCTATTGCTTCTGCCCACAAGAAGTATCCATTTCAAGACACACTAAGATTGGCGGAATGCATTTGAAATATTTATGATTTTCTTAGGAGCACGGTGGTATCAATGCTTTAACAGGCTGACTGTTAAAGGAAAATCATTTTTCATTTCCTTAAGTAGTTTTGAAAGTATGGTTCCCGGGTCCCAAGCATCAGTGTCACCTGCGATTTAGTAGAAATGCAAACTCTCAGGCCCTGAGAATTTAACCTCCAGGGCCCCCTACGTTTACATCCTGCTGTTTTAGTCTCCAGACATTATTTCCATGTGGCCCTCGTTACAGGCCAGCCAGCTGGCTAGCAAATGAGTCCAGGGACCAGGGCTTCAATAAGAGGACTTACCTGGAAATTGTCATTGACGTCTCCCTTTGCAACGCGGAGCCTGGCGATGTTAGCCAGATCCCTGGTAAAGATGGTCTGGATGGGGACATCCAGCTCTGCACTCTCCATCTTCTCACAGTCGATGTAGAGCTGAGCCCTGTCTTCCTGCACAAACAGGGTGATGGTCTTCCACTGGCCCGTGGCCAGGAGAGCTTCTTCCACGGACACCACTTGGTGCTTCCCCGGAATGCTCAGGCTCAGGTCCAGGGTGCCCGCCTTGCCATTGGAGACCACGCTGAAGATCTGGCCAGAGTGGTCTTTCCGCTCTATGGCCAGCAGCGTGCCCCGGGTCTTCTTCATCTGCCTCAGGGAGGCCAGGAGGAGGAACCCTTTCTCTGCCCGCACAGCATCCACCAGGTCTTGGAACTTGTCATCAGGCACGGGAGGAATCAGGTTGGCATTCTCAATCCGGAAAGCTGGGCTGGACGGGTCAGGGCCCTTCACCAGTCGGCGACCAGAGCCCTTGCGGGTGGCCCCAGTGAGTTCAAAGATGTCAAACACGCTGTTGTCTCCCCCAGACTCTGTTAGACAGGGAGGACACAGTCAGCTTTCTAGACCGGGGCTACGGGGCTCAACTCTGGGGGTGGGGGTGGGGAGAGGTAAGGTGAAAATTCCTGGCAACCACTGAAAGAGCTGAGAAAACCATCTGATAGGGCTCAGGGGAGACCCAGCTGGGAGAGGAGGTATACCTGAGCTGGCGGCCGCCTCCTCCCCCTGCACCCCCCCAAAAGAGATCACAGACTCACCTGGAATGTGGTTGGTGCCACACACATGCAGCAGGAACAGGACACCGAGTCCCCAGGCCAGCCCCATGGTGGAGCCGGTTGTGCCCAGTAGGGAACCTGTAGAAGGAAGCACCAGAACCCAGGGTCAGAGACCAGGAAGCAAGGGGTGGGGGGTGGGGGCCAAGGTGGGTAAAAGAAGTGGGGGCTGGGCATGGGGCCAAGGGCTTGGCACCTCTCTTTGTCCCCACGTTTGCTGGGAGGAAAGACAAAAGGGTTTTCTTTCCAGGGGGGCATCCCACAAAAGGAGAGTGCCGGCCGCAGGAGACTGTGGTGTTCGAGAGTGAGGGGCGCAAAGACCAAGCATCGGGGGGCTTTTCCTTGCATAGACAAGGATGAACAGCAAGATCAGGAGGTGTAGTTTGGGGCGGGGGGACACACAGAGCACAGGGAAGTAGAAACCTAGAAGACTGATGAAAGGTTTAGGGAGATCTGGTGAATGAGAAAATCTTGGGGTGTCCTGACGAGTTCAATGGCTCTGAAGCCTTCCCATGAAAAGATCTCCCTGCGGCTAGCGGGGACAGCACGGGAAAGTACCGATGGCCGCAGGTGGCTTACCTCTGAGGACGTGGGCGCAGCGGCCGGGAGCGGCGACAAGGGCGCAGCGAAGGACGCGGAGTCCTGGAGAGGCGCGGGGGTGGCGGTGCGCCCCGGGGTCGGATCGGAGTCGGATCGGAGGTGGCGCAGGGACAGCTGCAGGAGCCCGCGCTGGCCGGCTCGCCGGGGCAGTGGCTGGCCAGGCGGAGGAGCCGCGCGCCTTTAAAGGGGCGCTCGCATTCCTGGGGATCCCTTTGGCCAATGGGCGGCGGCGGGGCAGGAAGCGGGAGGGGGCCGAGCTGGGTTCCTCTCTCCGCCCCCCGCGCCTGGCGCGCAACTTTCCAGCCCGAAAGTGAGGGGGGAGGCAGGGCTCGGGCACCGCAGCCCTGGAACTTCTCACAAAACGGGTGGCCGCCCACGCAGCCTGGGTGCGCACAGCTCAGCACTTGGGCTGTTGCGCCACGCGGGCCCCAAGCGTCCCGCGTGAGAATCCCGCGCCGAGACCTGGCGGCCCCTCGATTCCCAAGAGTGTGGGGTGCTCTCAGACAAGCCGTCTCCTCGAATGTCTGGGAGATGGCCGAGACACTCTGAGACGGACAGTATTTTGTTAATAAAAAAAGGGGGGGTGTCGTTGGGGTAGGTGGGACCCTGAGAAGCCAGTTATTAATGAAGCTGCCCCTTGACCCTGGTCCATCCATCCTGGTCGAGTGGGGAGACCACGCGTGCTCTGCACTCCGCGCTCTTGTCCTGCCCCGCACGCCTGCCTTTCACCTGACCTCCAAGGGGGCCGTACGGTGTCGCACAGCTCGCGTTCCCCTGCCCACGGGGCATACTTTTTCCAAAGTCCCCGCGAAAGTTTTTTTGTGTTTCAATTGCTACTGCACTTCCGGGGCTTGCCGCTTGGGGACGGTATGCGTATTCAGATTAAGGGACCACAGTGGACAGCTTCCTTCTTGTCTGGGAATTTGAAGAAAACTAATTCCTATCCACGTTCCTCAAGCCAAACTTGAAATTGTGTCTTGAAAAACAATTTTTGATGCCCACTCGTGCTTCTTAACGTGACTCCTGGTTGGAGGACTTGGAGAGCCATCTGAGTCCCAGGGTCTTAAACTATTTACAGAACAGACCCAACAGAGCAATAAATTACCCTCTGCCTGTTATTTTATTCCTCCTTTTCCTCTCTAAACGTTCTTTTCATTTTTCGGCTTCTGAAACTGAGGTGTGGGTTACATTTCTGTGGGTACACACATTGCCATGAGAGCTGCTGTCTGATGCTTCTGTCAGTGAAGTCTGGTCTCCAAGCCCCTGTGCAAGCCAGCATGACTCCAGCTGCCTGGAATTCCATTCATCTCTGGAAGAGACGTCAGCAGCCACCGCTTGCTCTCCCTGTTGTGGTCCTGCGCCAGCAAGCTGGCCTTGAGAGCCAGACACAGGTAGATGCATCACCAAATAAGGATCTCAGCTCAGCACAGGCAGAGAGGGGGCAGTGGGGGTGGGGAGACACCTCGCGCTCACGCTCACCTCGGTTCTTAGTTACACCTGGCAGGACTCCCAACTGCTGGAAGCACCCACGAGTTTGCACTCATCACACAGCAATTTCACTTGTCTTGTGTGGGAGTGTTGTGTGACAAGGCGTGTACAGGGAGGGTTCCGGAGTGAATGTTTTCTAGTTACTCAGTATACACACAGAGTCCCTCTAGAAGACACATGTGTTCCTAAGACACATGTTTGTTTGTTACATTTCAGATGTCCCGAGGCAGGAGTGAAAGTCTCTTCTGGACCCAGAGTTGTCAGATAGATTCCTGGAGTCTATGTCCTGAATTCTATGTCCTGGAAGTCATAGGTGCTGATTCATCCACAGACCTGAAGAGCTCAGAGTCAGCAGCATGTGTGTTTCCCGCTTCTCTTCCTTTCCCTGATCCTGTCTGTTCTGTGAAAGGTGGTTTATTTTTTCTTTCTACTTGTCAGTAAGTCTTCCTCCTACTGGGTGCTTAGGAGCAGTTCCTGGAGGAGAATCCAGAGGTGGCCCTGTCCTCCTCTGGGCCTCTTGATGATTTTGTACAGATCAGATGGGGCTTGAGGTTCATGAGAAACCCACAAAAGCGAGATGCTGTTTCCTTCTGTAAGAAGATTGGCTTCCCTAGGCTGGACAGTGCTGATAGAACAGGAATGTGTACTTGTACCCTTGAGGCTACGGGTTGCCCTGACTGAAGGGTGTAGGGGCACCTCTTGAGTTGTCTTGGGGCTTGGCTTCTTTCAACAAAACAAGGAAAGGCACTGTAACCTTCCCTGTGCTCCTCAAATAGGAAGGTGACCTATATGGCAGCAGGGAAGCACTTTCTTTTCAGAGAAAGCTGGCAGCCTTAAAAGAGCTGTTTATTGCAAACACAGAGCTCTTCCTCGAGAGAGATGTCATAGCCTCCCGTTGTCCCAGTGAAAACAAGGTTGCAGAGGGGATGTGTGGGCAGCTGTGAAGAACTTACCCACATCCCTCCAGGTTACTGCACTATAACCAGTCAGTCCCCAGAAACCTCACACACTGCTGGGATGTCTGAGAGCAGCAGGATGTCACCTCTGTCACCTGGGATATGGTCCTTTGGTGTGTGGGGTCTCCTCAGCCTAGAAGCACTAGGATTTCAGGCCAGCATAAGGACGTGGTCTTGAGGGATGGACCTTCTAGTTCTTTCTTTGCCAATTTATCACCCTCGAGGATTACTTTCTTACTTAAAGTGGCTTTTCATGGTAGGGTTTCGCTTTTTCGAGTTCTGGGTGGCGGTGAGATTGGCCTAAATGCACCGCCAGTAACAGGAGGGAAGGGCTTTATCACTGGCTTTAAAAATTGCATGGAATTCAGGAGAGCAAAATAACCAGGAAAAAAATTTTGTTCATCTAGCAAAGAACAGCAAGGTGGGCTGTGATTTTGAGTGAGGAATTAAAATATTGGACACGCACAACGGTAGATTTCCTCAGCGCACATAGCAATGGAGCATTGTTATATTCTGGAGTGTACAGCATCTTCAAAATGAAGACGTCATCAACTCATTGCCTGTGAATATAGATTATGGTTTAAAGTTGTTTTTGTTCAGCTGCCTCGATGGTCAGACCCAGAAGACAAGAGCCGATTTTTCTTATTCACCCATCAAATGTGAATCCACACTCCCTTCCTCCATGAGGGGTTCTCTTGTTTCTTCTTTCTGAGAAACTTCAAAGCATGAATTATCTTCACCATGTAACTCATCACCAATACTCTTTATTATTTAGTTTTTAAAAGTTACCTTTTTAAAAAAGCTAACTTTTTAAAAAGTTACCTTTTTTAAAAAGGCTAAGAACCAGATTTTAAATACCCAAAGGCTTAGGCATGGGCAGAACTCTTATGTTTGAATTTCTAAATCTCTCTCTCTCTCTTTTTCAGTTTGAACTCAGGGTCTTATGCTTGCTAGGTAGGTGATGTACCACTTGAGCCACTCCACCAGCCCTCTAAATCTCTTTATGGTCAAGTCAATTTTCAAAACAGAGAGGTTGGAATACCTACCCTTCCCTGACATTGTCACAGTTGTCCCTTAGCTCTCTGTGTAGACATAGCCATTGACTCCCAAATGCAGCATCCCTCCCCATAGAATGGAAACAGTACTCTGGGGGACTTGATTTCAGTGTGAAGGGGTAGCCATATTGACTTAGAGGAACTGCCCTGTCCCTTTCCGTGCCTCCCAGCCAGTGACTGGCTTGGGAAGTAGCATGTCACCCAATCTGGCCAATGAGAGGTTCTGGGAAAAGTTCTTTCTTGCTTTTAAGAAAGAACTGTGTGAAATCAGTCTTTTTCCATCTCTTTTGGATTCCAGAGAGAATGTGGTTGTGTGCTGTTTGTTACTGCTGGCCACCAGGGGAGCCAAACTTAGCATGAAGCCAATGTAGGAGAAGGAAGAACACAGAGGTCAGATCATATTCTTAAGCTACTAATTCTGTCATCCTTACAGGCCATCCTACCTCTAGATGTCTTTGGGTGTGTGCTTGTCATTTAAGCCTCTTTGCTGTCATTTTCTGATCCTCAGAACCACAGATGTCTAACTGGTGATAGCGCCTTCTCTTCTATCTGGATTACCTTCCCACTCATACATGGTTTGAACCTCTTATTCTTTAGCATAAAAGAAATAGGGATAGGGCCCAGGTTAAACATTTTATGGCCTCCTCCCCTAATTATTAAATGCTTTCCAGAAAAGTTGCACTATTTCCCATTGGTGTTAGAGAGCTTTCGTCCTGCCTCTTTGCTGGTAGGCCATTCTAGTTCCAATCTCTACTCACCACTGAGTGGTGAAAGTGAGCATTACTTCTGACTCTACTGTGCCTTTGTGTCTGCCTTTTGGAGCTCTTCGGGTCCACACAGAAGGAACATCCAGGATGAGTGGATCCTAAGGGAAGTCGCTGAGAAATCCATCTGCTAGGAAATCAAGGGTGGGGGGAAAGAAGATGGAAAGAGGAGATGGTGAAATCTCAGCCTAACTTAAAGATGACGACAGGAAATTAAGGGTGTGAGAACAGGCTTTTCACATGTAATTGTGATACTCCCCATCCCCGGCCCCCGGCCAGTGCCATTTTCAGTAAAAGACCCCCCACCTGTCCAGATGATAAACACAGAGCTATTCGGTGGTAGAAAGCCCTATGTTCAGCAGCCTCTCTCTCCCTCTTTATCAGTCTCCTCTCTCCCCAACTTTTATCTGTGTTCATCTTGGTAAGGGTTCCATCTTCTGAGGCACTGGTCAGTATGGACTGGTTTGGGTTTCAGTGTGAAACGCCTTTTCTGGTGTTTTCCATCTCATCATGCCACAGAGGCAAAGGCTTGTTTAATATAAGGGGAGAGGCTGGGAAGTCATCGTGTGATTTACTGTGACGCATCCAAACTAGGCCTCCTGCCTCTCAGTTTCTTCTCTCTCTACCACTGCTTGAAATTCCTCCAAAATGAAATGATGAATTTTTTTAAAAGCCAGAATGAATCACTAGTTCAACCATTCAGGTAACCAATGAAGAAATCAGTTCAAACAGTGATATAAAAAAGTTCGTAGAGTCTGTTATGGTGTAAAGAGAAAAAACCAACCCAGGTGTTCTGACTTCCAGCTTAGCGTCCTTCCCTTTATATCATTCTGTTTCTTAAGATTGATTTCACAGGTTTCCAAGAATGCT